TGTCAGGAAGGGACACAGCAGCCCCTGTCAGGCATTTCTCCACTCACTGCTCCAGTGGTGAGAGGGTGGCCAGCCCTGGCAGTAACCTCAAGTTAACAGTCCAGGGTGGGGGTTTAATTCCTGCCCCCTTGCCCCACTGGCTCAGACCCAGCCTGGGGTTCACCTAGCATTCCCTCCTTGACACTGCAGCAGCAGGGCTAGGACCGTGGCCAGACACCAGCCAGCACGCCCCCTGAAGCAGAGGGGACAGGAAGGGGGTTTATTCCCACTTCCACGTCCTCAGGACCACAGCCGGAGACTACCAGCCCTGACCACCTCTGCCACCATCAATTACTCCCTATGTGGGGTGAGCAGCAGAATAAGCTCTTTCCCTGTCCCCTTCACTAGATGGGTGAGGGAGGGGGAAAATAATTCCCCTCCCTGCCCCTCGACTAAGGGGGTCATGCCAGCAGGCCTCTGGCCATGCTCACACCCTTGCTGCTGAAGTGGCGAGGGGACAGGGACTGTGATGGGGGAAGCAGTCCCTCTCATGGTTTCCTGGGGAGTGCAAGCCTCTTCCCGGTGGGGCTGGCAGGGGAAGAGGCTGTGTTGTGGGGCAGGCAGAGCTGCCACAGACTGTGTAGAGTGAGTGCAGGCACTAGGGAGGGCTTGGGGGTCTATGGCCACCACTCCAAGCCCAGGTGCCACTGCTCACCCTGCACAGTCTGCGGCATCTCTGCCTCCCAGCTCCTGGTCACAGAGCACATCCCCACCCCCCCCACCAGGAAGAGGCTTATGCTTCTGGGAAACCAAAAGAAGGGCTGCTGCTCCCATCAAAGCTGCTACCCTATTGCTGCTCTAGTGGCAGAGGCTGGCTGGCATGACTTGCTTAGGCAAGGGGCAGGAAGTGGGATTAATTCCCCCCTCCTTCCAGCATCTGGTGAAGAAGACATGAAAGGAGCTTATCTTGATGCTCACCCTGTCCAGGGAGCAATCAGCAGTGGTCAGGGCTGGCAGACCCTGGCTGCAGTTTCCCAGGCACAGAGGAAGTGGAGGGAGGAATAAACCCCCCTCCTGCCCCTTTTGCCTCAAGAGGCCATGCTGGCCAATGTCTGGCTGCACCCCACCCCTGCCACTGCAGCAGTGAAGGGGGAAACACCAGGTAGACCTGGCTCAGGCCTGTTGGTGGGACAGGGAAGGGGAAATTAAACCCTCTTCCTGGTCAGTTCACTTGAGGCTACTGCTGGGGCTTGCCATGCCTCCCCCCAAAACACAACTTCCCTGCAGCCAAGGGCTACTCTAGTGTCCCCCAGTGCCTTATCTGAACCACTGCAGGCATGTACCTGCATTTCCTGAATGTCTATTCACTTGCAAATTGGTTCAGTCCAGTCAGGTTAGAATAACCTGCAAAGATTGAATCAATTCAGGATCTGGTTTTCTGAAAGTCTGTCCCTAGCCAAAAGAAACAATCTTTTATTTCTTCAGATAGCTCTTACCTACATTTGCTAACTATAAAGCGTTTCTTGCAGATCTCCAATGCTCGATTTATAGTTAGAAGTGAAATTCTGTTTATTTGGACTACAAATACCAGAAACCCCCAGGGGTTAAGGGGGGGCCAAAGGAAAAAGGAATAAGAAGCTTGAGGCTGGAGTAAGGGGAAGAGAGCATCCTGCATGTGGAACCTGGTCAGCCCAACACAGAGGAGTGCACAGTGGCTCGAGCTGAAGATCTCACTGGCTTGGTCAGCCAGGACTGTGGACTGAAGGAGCTGGACTCAGACTTAGGGACAGCTGCAGGCTGCTGTTTCAGTGCTCTAGGAATTAAAGGATTGCCTGGGGACACCTCCAGAGGTGTGGGGGGAAAATTAAGGTGCTGAGTATAAGTTATCATAATGTTGATGTCTCTTTACCTTTTACCTGTTCCCTCTTTTTGGCCTGTTGGCTTGTGACCCAAACCCCTATGATTTTCTACATAAAAGTTGGATTCCCCCCCGCCCTTTACTTTTTGTGCCAGTTTCTGGGGTTGGCACAGTTACTTTTATAACCACTGCTCCTGGGCTGTAAGGGCTTAAGCAGAGAGGGATGGGGCCACTCTAAACCCAGAAAACCCACACTCAGAGAGCTGAATTGAGCTACCCACCCCCCAAACTGCTTGGAGGGCTAGCAGAAAGGGAAGTAGAAGAGCAGAGCTGCAACATGAGGGCCATTTTGCCCAGAGCCAGCACAGTTAGAGCATGGGAGAGGCCTTGCTCCCTGCTATACTCCCAGAACCATTGAAAGAGGCCCCAGGGAGATTGTGGAGGAGCCTGATCTGAGAGCAGCTGCAGAAGGATCGACTTCCCCACACAGGAGACCCCAGTAGAGAGAGGAATCTATTGGTGCTACAGAGTCAGCATGTGTACATGTGTACCTGACTGCACAGTTAATGTGCAATTATTTGTATTTGCTAAAGTACTAAATGACTGTGTACTTTAGCAAGTATTAAATAACTGCACAGTAACAGTTGGTACTGCACAGTCCCAGCACTGCACGGGTCATTTCTGACCCTTCTGCACAGTAGCAAAAATCTACTTTTATCCTGTACTTATGGTTTTCTGGGTCACAGTTGTGCCCACCAATGCTACTCCACTGTAGCGATGAAATACATTGCCATAGCTTGTCACTACAGTGGCACAACATCTTGTGTAGATGTGCCTAGCGATTCATACTTAAAAGGCTGCAGAAGGTAGTAAAGTCAGAGTGATTGTGAAGTGGTGAAAGCCCTCGTGCCATCTGGAAGAAGCTGGGTGGTGCACAAGGTGGAGATTCTCATCCCACAGGGTCCTTGTGCGACTGTTGGAGTTGGTGTTTTAAGTTGCACCTTTGAAAGGGGTAATTTTGTCATCAGATTTCCATGCAGGGTTCCATGGGTTATCTTACAGATGTATTTTAATGCCTATGGCTTTAAATAAATCCAACTTGTTTGTACCCTCTTGTTAAACCTTGATACTGTTGGGGACACTGAATCACCTCTGCCACACCCCTTTGCAGGAGGGTTACACTTTTTATAATCTTCCCATTCCTGTCCCAGCTCTAATACATTATTCTTTATCGCCAAAAGCCAAGCTAAAATAGCTGGGTACAGACTAAGGCTGATTAATGTTTGTTAAATACAAAATTCATTGTTCACTGGTACCAATATTTATACTTTGGTAACCCCTATGAGCACTCTTTCCAAATCAGGGTTCATTTTGTTAGGTGCTGTACACACATCTCTTCCCTGAGAGCTTGCCATTTATAAAAGGCCGCATTATGTCTAAACATAATATCAATTCATACTTTAACTTCAGAGCAGTATTCCCAGTTTCTCAACAGGATACTATATCTTTGGCTCTACATCTCAAAAGTCTAATTATTCAAACATATTCTCTATTTTTAAGTACAGTCAAGGCTTAGTCCTGTAAACTGTTGGATCCATTCTCATACTATCAGAGTGAAGTCTCTAGCCCTGTAGGACCTATCTTTTAAATATAGGTACCTAAACTGCCAATAAAGATGGTTCATCAAACCTCCATGCCTGAATCTGCACTACTGAAGGAAACAGGATTACTTGTAATGGTTTGTATTAATGTAGTACCTAAGTCATGAACCAAGGCCCTAGTGTGTTAGCAGTTGTACACAAGCATGCACTGCATTCAGATTATATAAAACAGGCAGTGCAACATATTTCAGATCCTGGATACGATGTAACACTATAGGTAGAAAATCTCTCTCAGATCTCTTTCAATGTTTTCAATATATTCAGATTACAGTGTGATTGCACATGAAAATGATCTTTTCAAGTATAGCACAGAGGATTAAGAAATGCATACTGCTCCTATTTGCAACATTGACTCTCAAACAATTAACTTGTTTAGCCTCATGTAGGCATGTGGATTTCTATGAAGTTTTCACAGCTTATAGCCTCATGAACAGTTTATGTGGATGCAACTTTTCATATTATATCAGGAACGGGGATTGTGATGAAACACTTATTTCATGGGACTATAAGCAGTTTTTATGTAATGCAAACTTTGTAGTGGTGTACTGCTTAATCCTTAAGGCAAGTGACAAAACACTTGATAAAAAGATTGTAGGTTTGAGATGACCACATAGAGTCACATGTACATGACATGACTATGTTTTATATACTAGTTTATGGTCTGAAATTCATATTGAACTACAATTTAAGCCAAAAACTGAGGAGACTATAGCAAATGAGGACAGAAATTAAAGTTTGGGGCAGTACATTTGTGCAGCAAATGCATCCATCCTAACACGCAAAACAGCCACAATGAAAAATATACAAAGCAAGGGCTGCATATCTTTGCTGTTGCTGCTCATCCTTTCTTTTTCCCCTGCTGCTGAATTCAGGGAGTAGTGGATGAACAAACAACAGAAGGGCCTGGAGCTGCTTGAAATCAACCTTGGAGCTACCAGCAGAAACTCCACTAACATCCCAGTGAGCTCTGAGAGAGCTCAAAGGGAGGTGCAACCATGCTGCACATTTCATCTGGATCCACACCCCCAGTGAGGAGACTCAACTTTCAAATGCAGACAAACATATAGATAAAGAGAGACTTTGATACAGTATAACTGGAAGACTTCTGAAACTGGCAAACAGATTGATCAAGCCATGTTAGTTTGGGTTTGTCATAGTTGTTATCTTAATCTCATTAATCTAGGTAGAATATTATAAAAAGCAGAAGTGTGGCATCTCACAAAACATGGTCAGCAGGAATATTCGGGTGAGAGAACAGGTACGGGACAGCCACAAGACCCTTGCAAAGGGAATAGTAAAAACTGTTATCTCTTTACCACATACTGTTGTATATGAGTTTCGGTATGTAATAAAGAGTTGTTTCTACATTACAAGGCTCAAGATACTACAATATTGACTAGCTTTGCTACTGCTAAACTGTACCCAGTAGTGACTTGATACACGGAAATCCAGACAGAGTTAAAACAACAAAACCTTTTAAATATGAAAGATACATAACTTACCACTTCTTCATGGGTAGCATTTTCTACATTTATGCCATTAACCTGAAAGTGAATGTAGAACGGAATAATTCAATAAAATTAATAGTAAAAATGTGCATGAAACAAATGTGTGTATAAAATAAATAAACCATATACTGACCTGTATTATTGCATCTCCTATAAATAACATTCCTGTTTGGTCAGCTGCAGGGTTACAAAAGCAGAACATATTATTAATTGAAAGATTTAAAATAATGACATATTCCACTTCAGCAATTGTTTTAGCATGCTGTTTGTAACAGTCATTTGAAATTGCTTCTTTTGTGAAAATGCCAGCAGCATAGCAATCAGTAATCATCCAGTAATGCTAACTAGATTGGTACCAATTTTAAGCAAATTAAGAGAGTTACTTTCCAGGCACAAAGGACTTATTAAATATGGAACACAAATGCCATTTCTCGCTAATGAAGGATTTCATTAAATTATCTGGAAAGTGCGATTCAGATTTTTCATTAGTCTTGCTCAGACAGTAAAATAGGAATCCTAGAAGCTAGTTAGCAACTCTTGCCCCCCCCGAAAAGAAATTTACAGGGACTGCTATAACTAGAGAGGTTGTGTTTAGAATTGAATAGAATTATTTAACATGAAGTTTGAGTTTGCTGTACTCAGGAAACTAAAACAATATATTTCAATCAGAAACATACATATTTTCATACAGCTCATCTTCATACAAATAAAACTATTAACTATACATGTAACATATGCATGCAATGCCAACAGTTACTTTCGTTGTCAAACATCTCATGCAAATAGATGTTCAGTGGGATTTCAGGGAGTTTATCACCTCACAGAAAATGACAAATTATTCACTTACTTGAAACCCCAGTTAAAATGGGTAAGGTCCTGATCCTCAAACATGAGTAATCTTTAATTAAAACACATACATAGATGTTTGCAGAATGAGGACCTAAGTTTTTCAAGAGTTTAAAAAAATGCAGAGATGACTTAATATTTTGAGAGTGTGAGCTGGATGGAAGGGCTTAACAACATGGTATTATCACTGCTCATGCAATAGTGCATTTGAAAACATGGAAAATAAGGCTTTAGTTCTAACACAGTTCAGTTTATGAAGTTGTGAGAGTCAGATTCATCCCTGATATAACTCCAACTACTGTTGGATAAAGTAGGTATTTTATTAATTAAACTTGCTTGACTTTCTTATTAGTATTTGGGCAGTTTTCCACATGTATGTTAGTCATCTTTAAATGGCATACTGTAGATGGGAGTGACCAAGCTGCTGCATGCATGGCACAAGTGCCATGGGCAACTGCTGTGTGTGGCACACAAGTCCCAGCTATGCAGTAAACTGAGGCGTGGAAATGGAGGAAGGGGGACTCGAGCCATCAGGTGTGCAGAGTGGGGCGGGGAAGCAGGGTGCTGCTGCCACAGAAGGTGTCAGGTATGACAACCAACCTCAGGTTAACCCTCTCCTGACCATAAGAACATAAGAATTTTTATTTACTGGGTCTAACCATAGGTCCATCTTGCCCAGTGTCCTGTGTCACACAGGGAGACAGAGTGGATGCCAAAAGGGAGAATGAACTGGGTATGCCTAGGGTTTTTCCCCACTGTTCCCCTCTCACTTGCAGACTCCAGCAGTTAAGGTCTTGGAAATTCTAATTCAGAGGCTGTATCCCAAACTCCCGTGTTCATGAGCTACTGATGCCCCCTTCCTCCAAAAATTTGTCCAATCCTCTTTTGAATCTGGCTAAACTGTCAGCTTCCACAGCATTTGATGGAAATGAGTTCCACACAGTAATTACACGATGGGTGAAAAAGAACTTGCTTTAATTAGTTTTAAACTTACTGCCTACTAGCTTCATTTTGTGACCCCTAGTTCTTGTATTGTGAGAGAGTAAATAATAAATCCCTATTTACTTTCCCTTCATCATTTAGTATTTTGCAAACCCCGCTCAAGCATCTCTTTTCTAAACTGAGTAGGCCTACCCTCTTTAGTCTTTCCTCATATGGAAGCCCCATCCATACTACTCATCATCCTTGTTGTCCTTCTCTGTACCTCCCCTAGTTCTTCTATATCCTTCCTGAGGTGTGGGGAACAGAACTGGGCACGGTATTCAAGGTGTGGGCACACCACAGATTTATAAAGGGGCATAATGGTACTCTCTGTTTTGTTTGCAATTCTCTTCTTAATAATCTCTAATATTTGGTTTGCCTTTTTGATAGCTGCTGAGCACTGAGCCAATGTTTTTAGTGAACTGTTCACAATGACTCCTAGATCTTTTTCCTGTGTGGTAACAGCTAGTGTAGAGCCCATCATAGTGTAGATATAGTTTGTGTTATTTTTCCCTGTGTGCATTACTTTATATTTATCTACACTGAATTTTATCTGCTTTAGTTGCCCATTTGCTCAATTGTGCAAGATCATTTGGTAGCTTCTCACAGTCCAAAACCTTCTGTAGCTACTTACACCCTTTTCCAGATCATTTATGAATATGTTAAGCAGCCCTGGTCCTAACCCAGATTCTTGGGGGACCCCACTGTTTACTTCCTTCCGTCCTAAAAACTGATGATTTCTACTCACTCCTTGCTTTCTATCTTGGAGCCAATTTCTAATTCACGAGCGGACATTCCCTTCAATCCCATGACTACCTAATTTAGTTAAGAGCCTCTGATGGGGGACTGTCAGGGCACAGGGTCCTAGGAGTGGCCGTGATCTCCCCTAGCACCCCCTACCATGCCAAGTTTGCTTCAAAGCACCCTTGTTCTCACCCACCACGTCTTGATCTTGTGTATTCTCCTGGTACCCCGTGTCTTGCTACTGTAATGGGGTTCCAGGCACCCCAGCCTTATGAGCTACGCGTGGCTCCAACCGCCCATGTACCACACCCCAAGCCTCTCTGATGTACCAGACGTTGTTCAGTCTTAGCCGCAGCCCTTGTGTCTCTCTACACTCTCTGGCGCTCTGGCTTTTCCGCAGCCTTGTCTCTCTCCGCGCCCTCTGGCACTCGCCAATCACTGCCCCTTTGGCCAGGGCTTGGGCTTTCCACAGCCTTGGGGCTCAGGTGGCTGTAGCCATGCCTGGCCCCCAACTCTCCTCCTCGGGGTCTCAAACCTCCTGCAAGGCTCAGGTGGCCTCGGCCTTACCTGGCCTCTCGTGCTGCCACTTTCTCTGGGGCTTCTCACACTCAGGTGGGCTCAGGTGGCTGCAGCCATGCCTGGCCCCAACTCTCCACCCCTTATCTGGGGCTGGGGTCCATACCCCCAAATGCTGCACCCTCTCTGGTGCCACGGTCCCCGTGCTACCATGGATCCCCTATGAGGCCTCCTCCAACCCCTAACAGCCTCACCCAAACCACCAGTAAAACAATAAACAGAAGACTCAAGCCCCTTGGCTATAACATAAACCTAAGCCATCTGGCTATAACAACATTCAAGCCACTCCAGGGTTTCTCCAACTCTCACCAGTATTGCATTGTTCAGTCATTCAGGCACCTTCCTTTTCCTCACTCAGGCAGAAGTCCTACCCCCATGGCTGCTGGCAGGGAACTACCTTCCTTCTCTCAGTCTGGAAGTTATATAGGAGCCAGGCCCTGCCCCCTCCAGTCAGCTGACTCCCACCGGTTACCCTGGCAACCCGCAGCTGGGCTCCTTACTTGCTGCTGCACAAGTAGCAGGCCTCTCAGTACCCTGCTACACACCTCCCCTCTTTATACGAGCAGAGCACCACAGTGCTCTGCAACAGGGACCTTTTCAAAAGCTTATATTCCAAATATACTATGTCAACTGGATTCCCCCAATCTGCTGGTTTATTGGCACACTCAAAGAACTCTAGTAGATTGGTGAGGTATGATTCCTCCACAGCAAGTCATATTCATCCATGTGCGGAACAATTCTTTTTCTTATTATTGTTTCTACCAGGTTTCAAGGAACAGAAGTTAGGCTTACTGGCCTTTTCAATTTCCAGTACGCATTTGCTGTGTCTTCAATATGGTGTTCTTAAGTAGTTAACACGTTGCTTGCAAGTTTCTCACCTCCTTAGCCCCACCTCCCCCACCCCCTTTAACTTCTGTATAACCAGCTTTCTTATTTGGGTGTAGTGTTCTGTTTCCATGGAAGCCAAACCCTATTGCATTGTGGCCATTGTTGTTAAATAGCTCAGTTATACCTACCCTTTGCACAAAATCTTGTGCATGACCTTTTCTTTGCCAAGCTCCACACTGCTTTGGCTAGATTGCTACCTGGACCTATATTTAACATGGTTTTGATATTTTTACACTACATTTCTATATACCACAATAGAAATTCACTTTGTGCCCCCAGGCTAGATCCAGTCCACAGGGCTCCTTGCAGGCCAGATCCAGCTGGAAACATGCAACTCCAGCTCCTACCTAGAGACATGGTGATGGTGGCAGTGGCAGTGTAAGTGGCAGCAGCTCCACCTGTGACTTGGGGCATGTGATGATAGGTCCAGCACCTGCTACATTCCCCCACGTAGGAGCTGGAGATGCCACCACCGTGCATCTCTTGCCACAGCCACAGCTGCAACTCCAGCTCTAGTAAGGGGCTGGCAGCTGGAGTGATAGGGCCATGGCAGTGGCAACAGGCAAAGTGACTGAAGGGCAACTAGGGTTCTGTTAGCCCTCATTTTACCTCCTTCTGATGACCACCAGGTCTGCCAGGCCCAAGAGCCCCAGATTCTGCAGCAAGCCACACCCCCAACAATGTCTCCTAACTTCCAGTGGCCTGCCAGTAGCGCAGCAGACCAGACAGAGTAGCTCTGTGCGCCAGATCATACCCATAGGCTACATTTAACACCTCTGTACTATAGCATACTCCAATATCCATTTTGTGGGCAAGGTACCCCTTGGTATAGGTATGATGTTCACATGTATCTGGAATTCAATCTAAATCAAAGATTTCATTTTTTCTTATTTAAGTTCTGGAATTTAATATTTTGAGTCTGGTTCAAATCAACCACAGCTCAAGACTACCTTCCTGCAAAAGTATTCTCCTTGCCGGAGCAGAGTCATATTCCTGCCCCCCCCTCCCCCCCCACCGCTGTCTCCCTGGATTGTTTATATACTTTACATTAGACAGTTAAAAACAAAACAGAAATATTAATGTAAATAGGCAGAACCCAGAGCCCAGGGTACCCCCATCTCAAAGGAGTCCACAAGCACCGG